CGTGGGTCATCCACATCTCTGTACGGATTGATGTCTGGATTTCTTTTGTTTCTCCCCTCCATTAAATGTCGGACGTTGAGACAGTCAAAGAACTTGTTGAAGGTGTGGATAAATTTAACAGTTTCTGATACATCCTGTCCATAATACTCCTCTAGGGCATTGGCAACTGTTCCGCTGAGTACCTGTGCGGCTAGACTAACTTTCATGCAGGAGTATGCCGTGAGGTCAACATGTGTTCGAGTCAGCTTGGGACAGGGTGTATACAAACTTTGTTCACATTGCTCCTCAAACAGTCGAACAATATGCATCCATGAGATGTCTTTCCCATCTTTCCATAATTGTCTCGTCTTCTTGTGGGAAAAAGAATTGCTGAAGCAGTTTCTTGTAGTTTTCAGTAGGTGGGGGACGTCGGAAATGAAGTATATGGCCCTGGTGTTGTCATGGGGATTCGGAGTTGAATACACTGTCTCGTTGTAACCAGGAAGCTTGTGGAGGCTGAAAAATTTCCTGTTGGCCGACGCCCCATCACAGGTGAAAAAAAGAACCTTAAGTCCTACATTGACCTCAATGATAGAGACAGCTTTCCAAATAATTGGGTAAAGGTAATCTGCCGTGATGCTACTGGTTGCGAAGCCAGCCAATGGAAATTTTAAAGAAGTAGCCACACCTCTAACCATGATGACGAGCATGCATTTGGCCAGCTCAGATGAGGAGTTTGACGTCCTCTTCTCCAGTTCAAGTAGCTGGTTTCCCACAGCATCTAAATTGCAGTACCCAATAAGCTCTCCTGTGTGTTTATCGTATACCAGATCTTCCTTGATTTTGATTTCATCAAACAGTATGCCCGTGTAGCACTTGAAAGTTTTCTCCAGCATTCCCAGCTTTTTGGCTTCCTCGTGTAGCACTTTAACAACATCAGGCTGAAATCCAAGAGCACTTTTGGTGTAATGAGAATAGTCAAAAAGAGTTCTAGCACTTGGTAACTTTATGAAGCCTGTGTCCCTCATGGCGTTGTAGGCTTCAGCACTTTTACTACGAATGTACAAACACCACCGAATGATCATGGGGTGCCAACGCATACCATTTTTTCCAGAACTGGCATGTTTCAGCTGTTGGTCCCAAAAGAGCCTCTGGAAACAATGCTCGTCAGGAAATGTTCTTTCTACTTCCTCTCTACAGGTTGCCATCAAGTCTTTTATTTCACTTTCTTCAAAAGTCTCCAGTGTGATGCCCTTCTTCTTTATCTCTCGGTCACATATCTTCTTTAACCTGTCCACTTCGCTGGTCAACGACTTGATTTCTTCTCTTTGCTGCCTTATTTTGGTAAGCAAATTTTCCCTGCTCATCACCTTATGTGCCATTCTGCTATGAACGTAGTTCTTTTCTTGGGTATCAGCACGTCTTTCTTCCTCTCTTGACCTTCTTTGCCTCAGAATTCGTCGAATTTCTTGACACGGCTTGCATCTGTTTCCCTCTACCATCAAAGTGCAGTTTACAGATCGAATGCATGAGCTGTAGGATACATCTCCCTTGGTGGCACAAAAATCCCCCTCTCTGTATGCAATAATATCTTCAGTGATTCCACTGCTGACACCACAGTCGACAGGTGTAATGCTCTGAAAATCTTCATCTGGATTCCCAAAACACACAGAGAATGTACATAGTCGTCTCATCAGGTCCTCTACGGTTGCTGCTGATGTAAACTCAGTAGGCATTCCTTTCCAGCATGGGTGGGTTGGTGAAACTTCTTTTCTGTGTACAAATAAAACTGCATGGAAGTCGGCATCGATGACAACTGAAAGTTTCACACCTGATCTCCCTGGTGAACTATGGTACATTTCCATGATCTTTACAGTGTCTGTTCCCAGGTTCACAACATAGTTCGTGGTAAGGAAATTGCTGGCTTGCAGGTCCTGGCAGAGGATTTGAAAAGGTGACAGTACGGTCTCAACTTCGATGGTTTGTTCTGTTAGTGGAACACAAATATCCTCAGTCAAGTCGGAGTCCATGCTTTCCTCACTTGTCTGTAAATCTGATCTCGTGATGGTATACCAGTCCTCAGATTCATCACACAATTCCACTTCTTCAAGTTCACTTGGAGCACTATACGTATGATCTATAGGGGGGCCGTTCATCACCTGGCATTCAATGTCTTTAATCGGGTCCTCTTTCTTCTTTCCACCATATTTCCTTTTCTGGCACACAGAAGCTCTTTTCTTCTTTGGCATTCTAAAATAAAGAAGAATTTTTTTTTTTCACATAATATTAACACAGGTATTTAAAAAAAGGTTATAAACCAACCCCAGTCTACCAAATTATCAAGATTTGTTGTAAATTACTACAATTAATTTAAAATTGATTTCAACATAGATATATTAACAATGTACAATTTATTATAATTTATTTTACTTCCTTTATTTGGTAGGCAACAGCAAACAAATAATTTATATTTAAGGCCCAAAAAGATTTACACTATCTGCTGTGTAAGTCAGTATTTTTATACAATATAATTTTAAATAAGGCGTGGACAATCCCCCACTATAAGAAAAAATATTTCTCAATTTTCAAAATTCACAGAAAAAGTTATATTTTTCTCAATTCTGTTCTCGAACTTAACTTAGATATTCATGGGATATATCTGTATACCAAATTTCATTTCGGTATGTTAAATAGTTGCGAAGAAAATGAAAGGAAGCTAAGTGGACCGACAGGCCGACCAACAGCAGCAGAGCAATATGCCATCCCTTCTTCAACATGTTCAGAGGGGGGCATAAATATCAAAACAATGAAATACAGAATTAAATTTGTAAAAGATGACATAAACAATATTCTAAAAAATATAACTTAAAGAATTGAGAAATGTCTTTCCTCAGAGCAGGGGATTGTCCTTGCCATTCTTCAAGCCTTTTGAGAAGTTTTTAAAGCATTTATGACCTGATTTTCAGCTGAATTCTCATCAATATCTGTTACCAAAGAAGTTTCAAAAGAATATTTTGTCATAAATATTTTTGTTTTAAGCCGTGCTTTGAACATGTTGAACTGAGCTAAATACAAAGCATGTAAAAAGGACAGGTAGAAATTCATTATGGATGGGGCAGAAGGATGGAATATGGTTATGACAAACATTATATGCCCCAGGCTTTGTGGCTAGGCATAAAAATATCTGAGCAAAATCATGTTAACACACAGACAGACATGCTGATTCCAATACTCAGCCCCAATACTCTCCCTATATGATCTTAATTTTGTTTGCATGGGGGTATAATAATATAAAACATTCTTTTTCTTTATATTGTGTTTAAATATATAATAAAAAGGATGCTAGTTTCACAACAAATTATTAGTGACTAAGATTATATTGTCAAAGATACACACCATTCACTTCAAGTAAAATCTAAATATTCAATTGAGAATCATTTATTTTGAATAATAATTAACAAGTAAAGAAATACAAGAAACTAATTTTGCTACATTATGAATTACCAGTGGTATATTATTTTTTAATTATAGACATATTAATTTGGCCTAAGGGCATTCCTTCAAAAGAGAACTTGTCCATGTATATTGTGATTAAATAAGATTACTATTGTCTAACAACCACATTAAAAAACCAATAAATCTCTGATTCCATGAAAACAGATATACATAGATACTGTATATATATTTTTATTTGCCAAGTTGACTAACAGTTCATGGAAATTTTAAATAAATATACCAGGGGGTAATAGTGATTTTTGTTGTTTTTACACATTGGACACCCAAATAGGTCCATGTATATTTTTCTTTTCTAAGGACCAAATCTATGAAAAAGTAACCAAATACATTGCTATATACATTAATTTCAATTTCTTAATAACTTTCCATGAGAAAAAATGCATAATTTAGAAGTTTTAGGGATTATAAATTTGCACATATTTTTGTTGTTTACACATTGGACACCAAAAAAGGTCAATGTAAATTTGTCTTTTCTGAGGACCAAATCTATGAAAAAGTAGCCAAATACATTGCTGCATACATTAATCTTAATGTATTTATGCCTTTCGATGGGAAAAAAGGCATATTTTGGAATTTTTAGGAATTATTAAATTTGCTTTAATGGCGCCGTTCACAAAAAGGACACCAAAAAAGGTCAATGTTTATTTTCTTATCTGAGGATCAAATCCTTGAAAAACTAGCCAAATACATTGCTATATACATTAATTTTAATATGTTGATAACTTTCAATGGAAAATAATGCATATTTTCGAAGTTTTATGAATTATTAAATTAGCACATTCTTATTTAAAAATGGACCATAATAATTTAAATGTGAAGTTTATTTACGGAAATGCATGATTTATCGCACTCAAATACTACAAACACTATTAGTCTGAATGATTTAATAACCTTTGAGATCTACATATGTGCACGGGTCAATGAACAACCAAAGAAAACAAGACCGTAGCAATGTTTACATAAGCCGTGAGCCCCCGAGGCGGGGACGCGTGGCCAATTAATCCATTGTTTGCATGATTTTGACACCCAATGTACCGTTAAATGAAGCCATTATCATCTCTGGTGTTTATAAAAACTATATACTTACTTGATTGGCTTGCTTGAACAGCGGGTGGTACTTAATAATCGATATCTTATCTCTCGGTCAATAAAAATTTCAAGATGGCGCCTTGGCTGGATTCTCACTCTCGCGTTATCTCGGAAAACGCGAGAGTTCGTGGTTATTCTGAAGCGCTTATAAGAAGTTGCGAATCTCTGGTTTTATATGTCTCTGTTTATATATATTAGAAGGAAATTTAAATAATTATTGGATTTTTGCAGCAAGATATACTTCAATTTATATTATAGCTTCTTAAATATTAAATAGATTACATATACAAACAATTCAAAATATAATGGTTTAAAGTAGTGAGTTATCGTTCCTAGCATAGTGGCGCTACATGTCCCGGTCCTTGTGATACTTCCGCTTCGTAGTAAACACACGTGAAACAATAAGGATAAGAGTACATAAGTAAGTAATAAGTTGAATTAGAACACACAACAATGCCCAGTAGTTGCTGCTGTGTACCTGGATGTCATGAAAGATGCGGGCATCAGTTCCCGACCGAAAAATCTAGGAGAGACAAGTGGATTATAGCAATTAAACGCTTGGACGAACATACGAGAAAGTTATGGGAGCCTTCCAAGTCTGCCGTTGTATGCAAACGGCATTTTAAACCTGACGATTACGTGACAGAAACAATACAAGGTATTGTGAATCAACATTGTTTTGATCACTATCGAATGTTGTAGCAAATGAAAAGATAACATTTCTTGCAAACTGTGTCAGCTGTGTGTATAGCCGATTTGTATTTTTATACAACCCCCTTTTTTTATTTTCATGTTCTTTTACTTGCATTAAAATTTTCATTGAAGCACACATATGTGAAAACGAATAAAAATAGCGTTTTCAGTATGAATAGATATACACTACATTGTTTATCAACAGGACAGAAACCATTACATGGAAGACTAAAGAGCTCTTCAGTCCCTAGTATTTTCTGCTGGACAAAGTCATCGGCGGCATCAACTTCAAGATCTTCTCGAGTAGAAGGTCGGGTGCAGAAAAAGAGAAAATTTGAGGAAGCTTGCCATGATGACCTTGAGGACAGCATTAATGAATCAAATGTAGACTTTGTTGAAGAGATTGTGTCAGCTGATGAGTCAACAAGCAATGATACTAACATTACATCATATAGTCCAGAATTTAGAGAAATGCAGACACAAACACAATCACAACCATTATTTTCAGTAGATCATTTTGAAAAAGATGATGCTGCCATTCACTTTTATACAGGTCTAGAAACATATAGTAAATTTATGTATGTACTTCATTCACTTGGACCTGCTGCATATTGTCTTAATTATATTTTTTTTCGAGTGCAAGGAGTGTCGATTCCAGATCAATTTTTTATGACTTTAATGAAATTAAGAAGGTACACTACAAACTTTGAACTTTCTAGATTTTTCAATGTATCTGAGAGCACTGTAAAAAATATTGTTTATACTTGGATTATATTCATGTCAAAGCAATGGCAAGAGGTGTCCATATGGCCGCCTCAATCCCTTGTCAGATATTTTTCACCTTCAGATTTTAAAGCTAAATTTCCTAAGACTAGAGCAATTTTAGATGTAACTGAGTTTCCTATTAAAAAACCAAGTTCACCGAGAGCACAACAAGCCACATTTTCAACCTATAAAAACAGAAACATGATGAAAGCTTTGATAGGTTGTACACCAGGGGGTCTCATAAGTTTTATTAGTCCAGCATATAGTGGTTCAACCAGTGACAGACAAATTGTAGAAAGAAGTAGTTTGAAAAATCTGTGTGATCAAGGTGATAGTTTAATGGCTGACAAAGGTTTTAATGTACAAAATATATTTGCTACAAAAGATATTACAATAAATATTCCTACTTTTTTTTAAAAACAGAAATAGAATGTCAGGTTCTACAGTTTTGCGTGACAGAAAAGTTTCGAGCAAAAGGGTTCATATTGAAAGAATTATTGGTTTAGGAAAAACTTATCAAATTTTAACACATCCTCTTAAAAGTACTGAGGCATGTTTATCATCAGATATAGTATTCGTTTGTTACATGTTGTGCAATTTTCGTACTGAAATTATTCCAGCAGATGCTTGATTGTTTTATGTAAATTAAGTGCATTTTAAATGCAGTTAAGTTCAATTAAAATACCACTTGACTATTGTGAACCCCTTTTGTCATTACTTCATATTACTGTATATTAAGGACAGAGATATTTTCAAAATTTTTGAACAGTCATATCTCTTAAACTTTAAATCATGTAAACATTACCCAGTCATAATACATGTACATTTGAGATTTGACTATTTCACAAGATCAGTTGACTGTATGGAATGTGTAAGAACTTTTTCTACATGTACCTTTTTTTACTGAAATTCAATGTCATGTCAGATTTTCACTCATTGTCGTTGTAGGACTTGTAGTAATATTTTTCAAGTACTGCATCCTTGAAGAAATTGGTGTAAAACTTTTCTAATTTGTCTAGCATTTCATGTATGAATGTATCATCCCGTTTGATTTGAATATACACAATGTCATTTACAGTTAAATTATTTGCTAAACAAACAATCAGAATACAAGATTTTGCACCAGTACAAAGAAGTTGTCCTTGTATTTGATAAAAATAATCATGATTATTATCAAGAAAGTATTTCCCTTCCTGGTTTGTTTTCAAATATGGCACTGTAGTCGGTGAAATTTTCTTGTTTCTAGAAACATATGGACATTTCACCTCTACGAGTTCCTCTTCATTAATGATTCCATCTGGTGATGCAGCTGAAAATGGATAATCTTTACAAATTATTAGGCCACTTGCCTGCATATCTTTATGGTGATCATTTTTAAACTTCTTTATGGCAACTGATTCATGCTTGTGGCCGTGTTCAATGGCATTTGATTTTATATTTTTGATAACTGTGAGAGATTGAGCAAGTATTCTTTTGTCTGTTCTCTCTGTGCATTTGCATATCCGCCCAAACATTGATGAAGTTAAATGCTTCGTTCTCTCTGCTTTCCAAGTTTTATTATTGCCCTGCCCCATTGTTTGATGTTTGATCTTCTCAATTTGAGAATTCGATATATGAGAAATGAATGATGTTTGAAGGAAATGGTCTTCAGGTGTCAGTTTTAGGTAGTCATGGTCATGTGCCACTGCCATCATATTGGCAGGGGTAAATGTTTGGAATATTGGGACTTTAGAAATTCCAGGGAAATTGAGCCATACATTTTGGAAGTGAGCAGGATATGCTGGGTTATTTTGAAATTTTTCTGGTCTTGGATCAAAGTTGACAGTTGTAAATTCATCAGCACCAGGTAGATGTATATCTGTTGATTTCATTGGGCTACCTTTAAATCTTTTACATTTATGAAAGGTCTGTAAACGCTGTGTGCAAGTTTCTTCTGTCTTGATGAACTTCTGTTTTGCAAACATTACCGCCCCATATATGACAGCTCCAACATGTTTACAGTGTGCATTAGGCCCCATGCCTGCAGCACACTCACACTGAGCTTCCGATATTGACCCCTCCTCAGTTATTTTGAGATCAACTGTATACGACACACCTTTTCTCATTTCGGCACGACACTTGCCTTTGATGTATGTGAAGGGGTTACTATCAATGGAGATACGGTAACATATTAAGAAATTATCATTGTACAGTTGAATAAAATGATTATCAAACTTCTTTTCAAATAGTTCAAAATAGGCTTGAACCGTTTCCATAGTCAAACCACGGAATGGGGAATCAGAATTTACGTCCGAGTATGTATCGTAATCAGGTAATATCATGTAAAAATCTGGGTCAAGCTTCTCAACTCTTCCAAAGTCGGCATTTCTATCGTATGCGTCAAGTCTGTTAAAAATACAAATACTCGGTTTTTATCATGTTTTTAATAGTTTAATTTTGCAAATATTTGCGGCATTACTTGATTTACCAATTACAGAAATTACACATGTTAAAGTTGGACATATAGCATGCGGTTTTCAGTATCGAATTACCTGTCGACCAGTTCTGCTTTCCGACCCGATATTCTTGCATTTCGTTTTCTTAGTTCGTTTTTAAGCTCAATTATACTCAAGGAACCGTATTTTGAGTTATTCATGATAATTTTCAACTGTTTTGATCTTAAATACACACGTAACAAAATACAACAACGAACGATAGTAATCTCGCATCCAATGTAAAGAAGATGCTATGGACCGGGAATAGTATCGCCGCCTAGCGGGAGGCAGGGGAACGCAACTCACTACTATCTCCCATTGATTGTGATCAAACTCATGAACTTGATTTACTCTTGTATGGTAGTCCCAATCACGGACTAAATATTAATACTCAAATATTTGAAGCAGTACATGCTTTCATCGCAGCAACCAAACGTTTTATTTGATTGTAATGTATTTTACTCATGCCAACACTTTATAACCGGTACATGCATTTCATTGTAAATTTTTTTTCTCTCTTTCTACTTTTTTTTTCTCTTTTGTTTTTGTTCTTTTGTTTTTGTTACTATGTTTGTCTATTTATTTTTATATCTATTTACATGTATTGTGTGTTCATTTTGACCTTGTAGGGAGAGGGCTAAAATAGGCTTTGCCTGCTGCCCAATCCCATTCACTTATGTGAATAAAATTTTGTATAAATAAAAAAAAAATAGATTACATATATCAGGAGTATATATATTTTTGTATTATCTTCTACACTTATTATTTTTTTTTGTATTTCCGCGCATAGGAAAACCACAGGTACTTGTGGACAGGACCCCTCCCCCCCCCTCGATATTCAATACCAGGGCTTACTGGACAATTTTTTTAACAAATTATATTTATTACACTTATTAATGTGTACAATACGAAAACATCACGGGCGTAAAACCCCCAGAATAATCGTTTAACCAAAAAAAAAAAAAAAAAACCATTATACATTACCCCACCCCACTATACAAGAGAGGTGTCATTTAAGGAGAAAATATGGGATTATTACGAGATGCAGAGTCAATCCGATAGCATGGACTAAGACAGAAATATATGTAGAGACAGTTAATTTTAATCAACACTTTAAGTTAAAATAAATGCATGGTTTTAAACCTAGAAATAGCAGCGGGCGTACAACGTAAACAAACTGGAGTGCACGTGGCATATTTTCTCTCTTATAATGTATAGTGGGGTATTTTTTGTGTTGAGCGATTATTCTGGGTTTTTACGATTTTTTTTTTGGCATTGAACACACGATGAATAAGTGTATTAGATATATGTTGTGAAAAAAGTCCAATAAGCCCTGGGGTTGAATATCGAGAGGGGGGGGATGCCCTGTCCACAAGTACATTTGGTTTTCCTATGCGGGAAAATACATAAAAATTAAGTTTAGAAGACAATACAAATAAATATATATACTCATGGTATAAGTAAATTTTTTAATATTTAAGAAGCTATAATATAGATTGAAGTATATTTTTCTGATCAAAAATCCAATAATTATTAAAATTTCCTTCTAATATATATATAACACTCTTTCTTGCATTGTAATATAATTAAATGACCCATTTGTTATAATTATTTTAAACGATTTCTTCATAGTAAAAACATAATAAAGGGGAGTAATCAAATGTTGAACCCGCTTTTGATTGGCTAGTTTGGATCTTGAATTTCGAATCTCGAATTTCGAATCTCGAATTTCGAATCTCGTACTTTGAAACTCGCTTCTGATTGGTTAGTTTGGATCTTGAATCTCGAAACTCGAATTTCGAATCTCGAATTTCGAATCTCGTACTTTGAAACTCGAATCTCGAATGAGCCTTCTGGGCTTTCGTACGTATCAGCCCTGCTGATACGAATCAATATCACACCTCTAGAAAATTGAACCTCAAAAAACAGTACTTGTGATCATACACTTATTTTGGGAGTTACACATTCTCTTCATTTTAACTTTTTGAATGTAAGGATAATCTACTTGACAAATAATAAACTATTTTCAAATTACGGATCGGGCGCATTCGAAATAGGTGTACATGTAGAAACAAACCCAAACAGCATGAGACAATAGACCATGTACATGTAAGAAGTCGGTGCATGATTATACTAATATTTTCTTCTCATCTTAATGTGTACTGTATTTTATTACCAAGTATGTAATAAACATAATAAAACATACCCTTTTCCACATCACATCCTGTATCAGCCCGAGACACCAATATCAGCCCTTGGGCCGATACAGGATGTGATATGGTAAAGGGTATGTTTTATTCTCTATATAAAGCGGAGTTAATTTACAACTTCTGGAATTTAGATATCATTTAGTTTCATTTATGTGTTGACTCAATATATCTCAACTAACTAATATTTTGATGATTGCCGACTCCAAACGATAAGGCTCAAGTAAAAACTACAATGTAAATTGTGAGTTGAACGTTTTTGTCTATCTACCAAATTGAATGACAAGCAACATGATTTAAATTCAGTATTTGCAAAGTCAACTATAATAAAAATAATGAAGATGGCCTTTATTTTTACATGATAGCACAATTAGTTTACAAAACTAGTTAACATTGCGGTGCTGAAATCATTTATACAGACAGAAAATTATGTACAGAAACTTTAATGTAAATATAAAGAAAGTTGACTTATAATAAAATAAATATTTAAAAATGCATTGTCAAAGTTGCATGTAAAAGATTCAGAAACATAATCAAAGGGATTTACATTTTAGTTTGAAGACTGGAAATAATTTCTTATATATGCAGATTTAAAACTCTTCATTTTATTCAGAAATATTTTTATCATAACCAGCTTCTGGAGTTAA